AATGTTTTGTGTTTTTGGTTTTGGGTTGTTTGTTGTTGGGTGTTTTTCTACTCGGATTACTTATCTGCACGATTTCTATGATCGTAGATTACACATTCAAAGCGTTGAATTCATCAAATTCGATCAGTGTGACCAGTGTGACCAGTGTGACCATCGGAATGTGATCAAAATGAACAAATTCATCTATGGGGGGATTGAATAAGGTTTTTGCGTTGTAGAACGATGTAAATACATTTCACACGAACGTCTCGTGAGCGGTTTGAACAAAAAAAATACGAACACAAAGATACATTGATCCAAAGTGTTCCTAAAACACTACTAACACTTATGAGATTCGTTTTGTGTTCATAGCTTTCGATCGAAAAATGCTCAGCGATTTTCAACTCGGATTACTTCTCCGAACCATTTCTATGATCGTAGATTACACATTCAAAGCGTTGAATTCATCAAATTCGATCAGTGTGACCAGTGTGACCAGTGTGACCATCGGGATGTGATCAAAATCCAGTTTAGGGGTTAGATTTCGGGTTTAGGTTTAGGGTTTCTGGTCTGGGGATGAATTTCTTGTTTGGGGTACTGAAGTACGAATTAGGTTTTATGGGGAGATGTGCAACGTTACCATTTAATGCGGGCCCACACAGATGATTCTGCATAAAAGCAGAAAGCAGAATCGCTTTATTAGGTTCATTTTTTTTTAAAAAAAATTTAAAAATCCCGCCAACCGAAATCCTAAACTTTTGGCCAATATGCAATTGCGAAAATCTAAACTTTCCCGTGATAATTTTAAAATATTTGGACATTAAGAAAATAGTTAACACATAAAATAAAGTCAAAGGTTCAAACAAAATATAAGAATCAATTTATCTTGCATCTGGGGAGGAATCGTCACGTCGTGCATAGGGAGCAAGACTCACAATCTGGCCATTTGAGAAGATATCCGCGGCAATCTTCTCACGAATCGATGAACTATTTTCATCGCAAATTTGATTGCACATCGTTCTTTCTTGACCTCGCATCAGGGCTTCAAGGTACATGATGATAAACACACCGCAGTCATCTCCGTTACCATTTTGAGGCAGCCCTTCGACGTAATGGTAGTCAAATGTGGTGCTTTCATCAAATTGGTAGATCTTGGTGACCGTATATATATTTGGGAGCCACCACACCAACCGGCCAATAATCGCGTCAACGTTCGGCCTCATTTTCAGGTTGCAGTCGAATACCTGAATCAACTTCTTCACATGGATGACTCTAATGGCCACCCAATGCACACTTACATCAGGATTGACCAACGAAGGTATGCTGAGGGGAGCGACAAATCCTTCGTAACTTCCCATCTTGCGCCCTCCACACCCAATTGGTGCTTTTCCATCAAAGTAATCCTCAAGCCCATTCAAATCGGTCATACTTCCATGACCCCACCATTTGAGGAATTCGCCGAAACTTGTGTCGCCAATCATGTACTTTGTTGCTGTTGGACAACCTTCTTTGGCCAGGCGATTCCTGATTTCAAGTATAGCTTCGTCCAAGTGCTACAAAATAACGTCCGATATCAGTGAGACTAACGTCACCAGTGTGACCAGTGTGACCAACATAACCAACGTGACCAGTGTGACCAACGTGACCAGTGTGACCAGTGTGACCAGTATGATCAACGTGACCAGTGTGACCAGTGTGACCAACGTGACCAACGTGACCAGTGTGACCAACGTGACCAGTGTGACTAGTGTGACCAATGTGACCAATGTGACCAGTGTGACAAGTGTGACCAACGTGACCAAATGAATATTTGAAAGGTGTAACAGAAATGAACTTACTCCATCCTTTAGCCAGATCCGATCCTGCAAAAGGTCTTCCCAGAACCTTGGTTTCCTCACATAATCAATCTCTGACTTCCAACGCCGTTCTGCACGATTCATCTTCATAAAATTATAGAGCTGTGTCGCTTTCAGAGTGCATGTTTGGACAAAGCTCGGTATCCGAAGCACACTACCCATAACCGCGGTGGGTTGCCAAGTGAATATAGGGCGTCGCTTCTTGACAGTTCCCTCAACTTTTTCCTCCTCTTGTTTTGGCGCCTCCTGTTGTTTTGGCGCCTCTTCAAATTGTTCTTCTTGTTTTTCTTCTTCAACTTTCTTTTCGTTTCCCTTTTCTTCCTCCATTTTTGCTTCAACTTTTTTTTGCTCTTCCTGTTTCTCTTCCTTTTCCTCCTCGCTCACCACAGGTGATATATATCTTCTTCTTCCACCTCCTGTCCTCGGCCCTGTTGCCTTAGTTCCTCCCCTGGTTCTCAGCCCTGTTGCCGCTCTACCTCCCCTGGTTCTTGGCCCTGTTGCCGCTCCTCCTCCACCTCTGGGCCCTCTATTAGTGACCCTCTATTAGTTATTCTGCCCGCAGTCTTTGTTCGCACCCTCTTCGGTGGTGGATCTGTCATCTCAGGCTCGACAAATGGACTTCTGAGAGCTGGCCCTTGGAACAACGTTCTTTTGGAACGTGTCATGGGTCTAGCGACTTCAGTCAGCGATGGAGTTAGGGCAATAGCAGGCTGGGAAACAGGAACGTTAGCAGGGTCCACGGATGTCTTGCCATCAGGGGCCACTGCAGCAGAGTCCTCAATGACAATATTAGCAGGTTCCTCAGGTTTGTGGGCAGCAACATCCTCGGTGGCTTCGACAGTAGGGTCCTTGGAGACATGAGCAGCAGCATCCTCGGTGGCTTCAACAGTAGGGTGCTCGGAGACGTGAACAGAACCGTCCTCGGTGGTTTGGGCAGTAGGGTCCTCGGACACGAGGGTAGGAGCATCCAGGACTCTGCTGCAGTGGCCCCTGATGACAAAGCATCCGTGGACCCTGCTAACATTCCTATTTCCCAGTCTGTTATTGCCCTAACTCCATCGCTGACTGAAGTCGTTGGACCCATGACACGTTCCAAAAGAACGTTGTTCCAAGGGCCAGCTCTCAGAAGTCCATTTGTCGAGCCTGATATGACAGATCCCCCCCCCTTCCACGGTTCTGGGAGGAGTATTAGACACCCCCTCGGAGCCCTCGTCATCACTTTCTTCACTACGCCCAACCTCAACCCGAGCTTTAAAATGGTAAGGAATATCCTTACCGGCGTCGTAATCACTCGTTGATGAGCTTCTATCCACATCTTCACCCCCTTCTCCCTGTATCTGTGAACGGGGAGTACGCACATCCCCACCAACCCCCTGAAAAGGTTCTTCATCAACCGGAAATCCTGCTTTCCTGATCATCTCCTTCACTGAATTTATGATCCTCAATTCAGAGACCTTAATCGCCTCCATCAATCTCCTTTCAGAACCTTTTTCTTCTTCTTTTTTTCCTTTTTTTACTTGTTTCTTTCTTCCATGTTGTTCTTGTTCTCTTCTTTGTACTTCTTCTTTTCCTTCTTCCTCCTCTTCTTCGTCATCTTCTTCTTTTTCTTCTCGATTCTTTTTCTTGTCCTTCTCTTCTGCTTTCTTATCGGAAGCAGCTCCCCTGGCATCGACATCAAGAGCACGAATATGCTCAAAACAAATACTTTTTGGATCGACCTTCAGTTGTTTCATCCAACTGCGCACATCCGAATTGGTAATATCTTCGTCATCAACGTCAGCAAGAAGTGATTCCTCTTCCACACTTTCTACTCTAAGAATACTTCGAATGCCCTGAAACCAAAACACAACAGTTGTCAGCCAATATGACATGTGAGACCAGAATTAAAAATAAACAGTGTGACCAACGTGACCAGTGTGACCAACGTGACCAGTGTGACCAACGTGACCAGTGTGACCAACGTGACCA